GCGTAGAATATTTTTATTACCGCAGACGAATTACATTTACAGGGTTGTAGTAACTAAATAATTTTTTGGTATGTTATATGTCCAGAACAACGGTCCAAACTTCAAATCAATTATTTTTATGTTTTTAGCAATTTTTCTTTAAAAAAATAAATTTAAGACAACCCTGAACATTTACATGAAGGACAAAATGCAGACGTTGCTATTGCGCGATGACAGATTTATGTGTTTATCGAAAACACAGGCGCAGACTTGAACTCACATAAACAAATAATCGTTATTTTAAAATAAAACCTTCCCTGGTTGCTTTGTCCAAAGTTAGTTTTAAATATTACCTACGTTTTCATCCAGAAGTTAATTAATAAAATTAAGCCATCAAAATCGATAATATGAAGTGTTAGGGGTTGGTCCTAGCATTGATATGCGTGGCTCGTCACCCTTGTTAGAATATAGGGAACGCCGAATGCAATTTTTTCCATTTTCCCTGCACACTTGGAGGAATAACCTCTCCTCGGTTTTCGCATTGGGGTGGTTCGCCCGACGAGTCCAAGTGAAGCGTGGAGTGCGGTAACGTTTTGTCGTCGAAGTGTAGAATATGCGAATAGAGCCGTACAGGTTTTTGAGGGTGGACGGGCGCATAAAAGCATTACACGCTCTTATTTTCGTTGCACGCAAATGCGGGGTCTGCGAAGAAATGGGGCCTGTCAGTCATCGCTCCTTGGAGGATCAAACGCGCCCGGTTTGCATCTCAATGTCTTGTTGCGCACAAAAGCTCGTCGCTTTACCGCGACACCCTCTTATGACGCCTAATAACAATGCGAATTTAATCGAACGTGAGCTGCGGTGCGTTTAATCTCTAAAATTTATTTGTTGTTGAACCAAATATTTCGATGTTGAGAAATGTTATATTTTGATGTTTTAATTTGACAATTTGAAGATGTGTGTAATTAGAAGCCGCTTGATGAGATAAACGAATGGGTGTATACGAGCGTTTATTTAAAAACATTTCGTGGCGTGTTGGAAACGAATTTTTCGTCTCGACAAGAAACGCGAAGCGTGAGCCGCATCTGCGCTGGAATTTCACGGCACATAAATAATGCTGTATCAGTTGGTGTGTCGCATGTGAGAAATACTCATCCATCATCTGCAAACTTCATCCATTTCATCTTTTACAAACCTAACACCTTAACAAGAATTCAGGGAAGCTGCATTTTTTCAAACAATTAAATAGCAATTTTAAAATTCATATTTTTAAATATGAAAATTTTAATAAAAATTTGTGATGTAAAAGTTCGTAAAAGTCTTGATAAATAGCAAATTTTGTTGAAGAAATATATTCGACACATAAGCGCTGTGCACGTTTCCGGGTCGACACCATTTTTCCTCGGAATGGTTTTTGGTACACATCTACGCTACCTGCCTAGGTATTTTCCGTATAAACGAAACCAACAGGAAGTTATCTATTTCAGGAAGTTATATCTACACATCTATCTTACGTATACAAGCCACGTTCACCTCAGCCACCTGAAAAGTTGAAGCTGAAAGTTCTCCGAGTACCTACTTTATGAATTAGATAGATTAAAGTAAGCTCGGTATTTTTATTTCACAACATTCTTGTACCCTACTTTTGTTTGCATCGTATATTTATTTAAGTAAGAATGAAAATACGAAAAGAAAATTACCTTTTGAACTTTTACTATTCAATAAAATTGATTTCCGGTTTGTTTTATTCTGCGCTGCTCAAATAAAGTTTGGGTTTATTTAAGAAGCAATGAAATAGATGAATGGGGGTGCGTGGATGGTTTTTATTACGACCGTCCAGACTAATATAAAATTTCTGTTAATAACGACGATATAAATGCGATTGATTGCGCTGCATTTACATCGCGAATTTACACAGCGCCGGAAACTCATTTGCATACGTGTCTAGACAGTGGATTCGAGGGGTTTAAGTACAACTGCGTATACAGAGTGATTATTACTTAACATAACACTGAAAGTTTAAAATGAAGAGTATGAATTTTTATTTTTTGCAGGAAAAAAATCGCTTTTAGTTTAAAAGATATTCACAATCAAAAAACGTCGATAAAAATTATCAAGCACTCTTAAATTTCCAATTTAACTAGCTTATTCGATAGAGAATTTTCCGTAGATTAAGACCCTGCGATTCGTTCCTTTCTACCTCTTTTAGTTTACGAGATATTCGCAATTGTAAAAAATCAAAGTTTGAAAAATTTTAATTCTTAGCATTTTTAATCACATTTTTCGCACTTTTACCCTGCGATATATAATTATTTCGTATACTAATCTAATAGAGAATTTTTCAATCCTTCATAATCTGCAATTCTTTGTATTCTAGCGCTTTTAGTTTAGAAGATATTCACTATAAAAAAAACCGTCGAAAAAATTATCAAGATTTTTTAATTTTGTCGCAGTACAAGTCGTTATAGCATTTCCTAACAATCCATCTTTTACACAACAATAAATTTGACGATCGGGTCATTCGATAAAAATCGCTCGCGTTCAGGAATTCGCCATTAAAGTCACGTAATAAAAATACGCTCGCGAATTCCTTCCGATCTCGTCGCCGCCTCACGCTGTCAATGCGTCGGCAATGGGAACTGGAGCAGTGCTCTCATCCTTTATCGGCTCTTCCCATCCCCGGCGCTAGACTATTCTCCTTCTTTGTAGTCGCGCCTTCGCCTACGCCGAAGCAGCGTCGCGACGCCGAGATACACACGCGCAAATCTCCGTGGTGCCAATACCGACTGATGTTGAATTGCATGGAGGAGGCGCGCTTTTTTGCGCGTCGCGCGCGGAAAAAAACGCCTTTGAACTTTTGCGCGACGCGCACAAAAGTGAGCCACTTAAAAAGCTCTCCTCCGCCTTTAGTGCAGCGCCGCCTTGCGGCATTCATTTCGCGAACAAGAGCGAAATGTAAAAAAGTGTGTTATACGACTTTGCATCCGCCGCCGCCGCTGTGCGACGAGTAGTACTGAGAGGCGCGCGGATTTTTCAAACGTGATTTTTTCAAACACCTTTGTGAGCGCATCTTGCATAGATTTCCTGATGACAGTCGAGCCTACTAGAGCTACTAAAACTTTGCTTTTTACTCAAAGCAAAGAGAACTAATTTCGATTATAAGTATACCACAAACCACAACGTCACATTCATTTTCTCATTTTTTTCTTTTCTACATTTAAAAAGGAAACTTAGGTTAGGTATCATTACCTCAAAATATAGGTTAGGTTAGGTTATGTTAAAAATAAGTGAAAGCATTTAGCCACACCGAAACTAATGACTGCACTCATTGGCTGCAGTCTAGCCGCAGCTATAAAACATAATTAAACTTCTTAAACGCGCGAATTTATCACGGAAGAGCGCTCGGTCCTCATCTACGCGCTTTTAAAAGCCGCCCGAAACCAGCGACGTACCCCGGAAATGTTTAATTTGAATCGTAATTGACGTATAAATCTTAAGATTCCTCGAATTATGATAATAATGTCCCCATTACAAGCACACAATAAATTCTAGACTTAAGCACCGAAATAACACAACAACGTTTTCGTCGTGTCTCGTGTGCAATTTCACCTTGTTCTGCGCTTTTTTGTTGCGCTCTCTATTGCCGGTCTTATTATAGATGCATTCAGATCAAAAGCCGATGCGGCACTGCACAAGCAAATCTGATTAACATTTAATTGCGCTACCGTTTCATCAGTCAACAATCACCGACGCAGTGTGGATGGGGATTCATGATCTCCATTACACCGCCAGTGTGCCTGGCATTCAGGACTGGATGGCTGGCGTATTGGTCGCCCGGCTGGTGCAATCAACTGCGACTTCAATGAGCGAACAAATGCAAATTTGTTGCCGCTCGATGTTTGGTTAATTACGTATGCACGTACCACCTACGACGAGCTGCAACTAGTCTGATGGAGAGTAGCTCTATTCATGAAATTCTACCAGGCGCATCCACCATTTAAATTTATTTTGTGAAAACACATGTATGCAATGTTTTATGTAGCAAAATCTATTTATTCAACAATTGTGCATGAATTGGATTTGTTTCTGAATGAATCGTTATAGTTTTGTACGTTTTTTTTGCTAAAATTTGTAGTTATTTAATAATTACGCAATAATTTATTATCTTACATTAATAATTTCATAATCAACTAACTATTAAATTAGAAATATAATTTTAAACAAAGATTTTATGAATATACGATGATTACAAAAAGATACAGAGTGATTTTAAATTTTTTAATGACAGAATTGTTTACAACTTATTATCCAATAATCTAATCAACAAAATCCTTGTAATATTAGGTAAATGTAAAATTTAATAATAAATCACTACACAAAAAATGCATATTTTGTGTAAATAGTTAACGAGTTATTCTAATTTAAATTTAGACATATTACATTTATAATATTTACCGAAATTATGCTTCCAAAAAATAATTTTTTAGAATTTCGTTTGATAAATGGAACCTTTTGGCCTCTTGGCCAAACAAATTCCCTAAGAAATCCCATAACTCTTAATTTCCACGCGAAAAAAAACTTTCATACATTTTACGACTTGCTCGCTTTTTTCGATTTTTTAAAAAAAAGTTTGTCCCACATAGTGAGAATTCATGTATTATAGCTAAGGGAATATTTATTTTCACTCGGCGTCGTTCTTTTTACGTCGCCGACTTTCAGCTCGCCCGCAATTCAGCCAACGCGATTTATTCCCATACGAAAAGAGCGTAAACAACAATATTACCTCACACTCGAATTACACGCGTACTCGCGCACCCGAAACTTTCGACATGTTGATAAGATTAATATAAAAATAGGAGTGATTTTATCACACAGGTTAAAATAGCTAGAAACGTTTAGTTTCTAGTTCAAGTCCAAACCCCACGCAATACTAGTATGTATTTATATTTTTTTAAACAAACAACTAACTACCTATTCCTATTCATTTGAACTAATATTAGTTTTGTACGCTTGGTACTCACCAGCGGCGGCAGTTGTGTGAATAAGTGCTGTAACCATACACGCACCGAATTAATAAATCTCGGAGATAAGATAATGTGGCGAGCAGCTGATGACTAATCCAGTAGCGCGTTCTTTTAACCTCAACTTGTCTGCTTCGAACTGTTTGTCGATGATGATCTCACACGAATGAAACACAGTTTTGCAATGTTTTGTTTTCTAATATTTAGAAATAAAATGATTTCAATGTTTAAATTCAGCAATGCTTGCAGCAAACGTTGAAACGGCCACGTGAGATAGCAGAACTACATGATAAGCGTCGATATCGATAACGGCGCGTCACGTCGAGCGGCGGACCGAGACTGAACGCGTTGCGCTCGACGTCGATGCGTTTTATCAGCGCCTGCGGTAGATAAGAGCGCAGCGCTGCGCTGTGGCGATCTCTCTTCGGTGTTGACGCCGGCGCATATGCGTCAAGACGGCAAACTACTAAATTTACACTTTTTTATTCGTCAAAGGTATTATAAAATACTTTGTTATATTTCAATGCTTAATTTTAATTATTTTATAAAATAAAAATTGCATTTCACTAATGTTTGTTTATCCAGAGAAATGCGGTTATATTCCTGTCACTATTACGGATACGTATACTTAAAGTTGTGCACTGATGTCGTTTGTGTTGCCGCCATTCTCGCGTTAGCCGCCTTTGGCGACTTGTGTTGTTTTTCACCACAAAACGCAAAGTTGGTAATACTTTTATGCGCGCATTCGCGTCCTCGCCGCTAAACCCACCGAAATACACTTTTGAAAGCGTCTTTACGACTTTGTGCTGCCATTCAAAAGTGCGCAAACACAAATAAAAAGGCGCGCACGCTCCTTCGGGGCGCTAAAAAATTGCAGCGGATATTTCGCCGTCTAACTTTTAAGCTCAAAACGCAACAATGTATTTATTTATATATTTTATTCCATAATGCCTACAATGTATAATATAATATACTACTGGTTTGATAATATTAAATATTAAAATTTAATTTGTCGAGATAATAAATTGATTTATAATTATGTGCGCAGCGCGATGTAATAATTTATTGTTCACCAATGTTTATGTCATTTATTTTACAATCGGATGGAAGGCGCATGAATTAAATTACGCTTTGTCTGCTATATTGAGTATAACAATAGCGCTATTAATTTGTGTCGGATTAAATTTACAATACCACAGTACAATTTATTATGAAAAAATCACAACAAAAATCATAGTGTCATAGAAAGTAGTCGTAATGAATCGATAACAAGAGTTATTATTTAACAATTCAAAAGTCAATCAATCATATTATTTATAATTTGAAATTTTATTTGTATTTTAATTATATTTATAAAATCAAAAGTCAATTACTTGTATAAAAACGGTTACCCATTAATATTTTAATTCCTTTTCGCAAAAATCATCATTCAATTATTTTTGAAAAATATGCAGCAATATTTTAACCTAGATTAAATGCGTGGTAAATTCATACAATATCCAATTTCGGTAACAATAAAATAAGCCTTTGTTGTTAATGACCATAAACTACAAAAGCTTCCGAAGTAGCATATATTATTTCACCAATATTTGACGACTAAACACGCGGTGCACTTTTGAAGTGCTCAAACCACCGCTTCTAATCGCGTGTTGGCACTGTTTCATATCACTTATCACGATATCATCATGATACGAGAATCACGAACGCAAGAACAAAGGCAACCGCTGCACCAGTCACAACATCAACTTCTGTGCCCGCCGTGTTGTTGCCTTTTCCATTCTTTACAATTTCAATGCATTGCATTGCAGTTGTTAGGCGTGAATGCATCCGCGTCGAGACTTTCCGGGTGCGCTTTTAATTATATTTGATTACTGCGCGGTTTGTGTATGCGGCCATACTGGATAAACTAACAACGATTTTATTATGAGTTTTATGATCACGTTTTACACGTTTATATGACACCGATGCGGCGATGTGGCGGGTGGGTGTTTATTGCGTCGCTAAGTCACATGTATTATGCGTTTTTAATAGGAGGGTGGAGGTGCAACACCCCCCTGCATGTCATACAGGATGGGATTATTCATTAAAAACAACACACGCTTAAAATAGAGACATTAAATTATAGCATAATGAAATAAAGGTTATGTACTGCTATTGTGCATAACCTCAATTTTAAACGTGATGAAATATCACTCTCACTCACAAAGCTTGTTTACACAATTAAATGTCTATATTTTTACCCCATGGATTTATATCTCGTATGATTATGTGCCCCCCTCATAGGTTATGGTTTTTATGTGCCTACCGTTCGAAGGTTCCGACACCCTAAATTTGTCGCGTACGCTAAATGCATTAGGACTATTTGGTAGATTGCGATTTGAGTCGCACTAAAATCGCTGCTTTATTTGTCTAGTAATTCTTTCCTAAGGGCGCGCACAATCTTGTGTGTCGCAAAACGTGTGCGCGCCCATGTTTGCACCCCCTAAAGGGCATTACCCTTCATATTTCTCTCGTACTCTCGTGCTGCACATCGAGTGCGAGTTTATTACGCGCGCGGAGAGAGTGAGTGCGTGGTCCACGTCGAGTATCGAAGGGGGTGCACAACGCGTGCAACCCCGTAACCCCGGATATGAAATTTTATACAAGTGTCAACCGACAAATCAACTAAATCAACGATTTACGGTTTTATCTAATCGCTGATTTTTTAAGTTTTTAAAAGCATTATTTTAACATATTTAAATGATATCTGATACTTTGAGTAGTCTTTCATCACGTGTCGATGCGAATGGTATACATCTGTTCTACCACGGATATTCGAACGATAAATCGCTCGTCAATTAGTACAAAATAGATTCTACCCTCTCAGTTGGGAACAGTCATGTGTTCACCGGGAACACCCACTATTTTATTGGAAACAGAACAAATGTCGACAGATATACGGACGTAAATCATAATTATTAATTTTAATGTGCGTGTTTTTATTTTATTTTTTTGTTGTGTTGTCTTGAAATGACTTTCAGACGCATGTCTCGATTATTGTATTAAAACTAAACTGTAATTGATTTTCAACTAATGTTTAACGCTTTTAACGCACAATGGAATGAAAATTAATTTGCGTTCGAAGTATGTACGCAAATATTGCATGTCAAACAATTTAATATACTCTCACGTAGGAATATTTGTTGTGTCTTTGCGCCGTGTTTGATTTCCTGGTTCGCTCAGCTGTAATTAGAAATCGAATGCGCCCGCCGCCGTTCACAATCAATCCAACATCGCGTTGGACACTTAAGACGGCAAACACCATCAAGCTTCTCACAAGCCTCACGAGCTTTAGCAATGGCTGCTCTTGAGCTTCACGCGTCTCGTGTTTGCGCAGACGGGCTCATGCATATCGTGTTTGCCGTTCGATTCGCTACACCAAGTATTTGCAAATGTAATTAAAATCGTGCCGCTCGAACGCCTGCAAATCGATTTTCATTACAAAAACGAAAAACGAAAACGCGAAAACGCATTGTTCGCACAGCTACTGGGGGGAGAACATGAACGGAAGAGTAAACAATTAGAACTCGATCGAAATTAAATTAGAAAAGTGAGCGAGCGTGCACTTATGATTTTCCTAAGAAAGGCGAAATTAAATTTCGCGTTCGTAATGAATGCGAGACGCGCGCCTCCTGCACGAGAGAACCGGTGTCGGTGTCGGATTGCGGTTTTATTTATTTTCAGATTTATATGAAATGAAATACGATTGCGCTCGCGCGTTTCCCCACCGGCCGGAAATGCGATATTTTCGGACGTGACTGTAAAATTCATTCAAATTAATTTCAGCAAATATTTAACACTCGGCTTTCACGCTGCTACACTCGAAGAAATCCTCAAGAAACTTTGAAAACACGTTTTAATATAGGCAACCGAACATACTTGCACGCTGAAGAAATGTTTTACTTCTACTACTTTATGTTAACCGTAAAATATTTGTAATTTTTTTCACTCTCGCTACTTTACGATTTGAGCCGAGTTCAAAAGCTTGCCGAGCTTTCAATGCCAAAAAGATCAAAGCGAGCGCAAGTGTACACTCACCGTTTATTGAATAAAGAATAAACTTTTTTCGTAAATATAATCGGAAAGTATTTAAAGGAGATCAAACGCCGCTAGCGTCAATATTATTAAAGTTATAAAAATGTTTCACCGTCGGCAAAATATTGTTGTTGAATGTTCAAAAATCTCGAATTCTGCGGCGAAAAGTTCCTTTGAACGTTTTCCCCGATACGAATTATTTACGTGTCACCGTTTTTTCTGTCTGTCACGGATGTTGCAGAGCAAAACATCCACGATTTTTTCATCACCAATTGGAGGAAAAAATAAAGCAAAGTCTCAAAAATTCGTACACACAAAGCACACAATTTATCGAATGATTAATTACTCGACGTGTTGATGAGTTAACGATTTCATGCCGGCAAAAAGCCATGTGTGGCACGTGTATTTGTGTAATGTTTGCATGCGTGGCGGCGTGTGTGCTTGTGTTTAGTTTTTGGTAATCAAATAAACCGAAACGCTCGAAATCTTTCTCAGCATGTTTTTAAAGGTTATTTTTAATTACTGCCATATGCAAAAAAGAGGTATGATTAATATTTGAGTGCAGAGTGCTGAGCAATTAGTGGTGGACAATAATCAAATGAGCGTAGCAATTAAATCGCAATCGCCATCACAATCAGGTGTCTAATGCAGCAATCATTGACGAATGCCGGGCGCGAATTGATGAGGCGATTAATTTCGAATGTGCGACGCGGTCTGTGCTAGCCACATCACAATTCAATTTCGATTTGTCAATGATGCGCAAGCTGGTGGCCGACTATTTAAATCACGATTAACCGGAAACGTATCAATCTTAATGGAATAACTAACTAATAATTGTTTAGTTTTGCATTCGTTTCAATTTCGCATTAATTTTTAAGCCAAAAAAGCAATATCCTGTGATTTTATTGCTTTTCAATCACAATAATTAACAAAAAAGCAAATATTTGCGCAAATTTTGGGATTATTTTCCCAAAATGTGTTTTAACGAAACAATTAACTAGAAAATTTTCATTTGTTTTTTGAAATTGTGACGTTAATTAGTTTTGCAATAATTTTTTCGCAATTTTTGGCAATTTTTCTTGAAAATACAGAAAAACATGAGAAATATATGATAAAAATATGAGAATAATTATTAAAAACCAATGTTTTAACCTAAAAATTTCATTTCATATTTCATATTTCATATTTCATTTGTCTAATTGTGATTATATTAATCGCTTTCTAGTAATTGTTTTTCTCAAATTTCTATCAATTTCCTGTTTTTTTTTC